GACCCAGCAGCCTGAGTTTCTGACATCAGTCTAGCCAGAAGAGAATGATCTCACCCTGGGTGGCAGCCAAAGGTTTCCACTCCCGTGGATATCGGAGAACAGCCCAGATGCATATGCTTGGGATGTTTGCTCTTTGGTTGAACATGGGGAGAGCTGGGATCTCCCTGGGCACTTTGCCTTCTACTCAGTGTAGAAAATTTTACCAGGTGTTGATGTCTAATGCCCACAGAATTCTAGGTGGGTGAGAGCTGAGATTCTGAAGCAAAAGCACGAACTGGAATTGGGGTCTTAGACGGAACTCAAGATTCCCTAAGGCAGTGAGTTTCCTACCTGACATTAAAAAAAACCCAACAATGATTTGAAAAGTGAAAAATTTAGTCAATAAGACTTTGCTGATTTATGTGGGGCCAGATAAACTTGTGTTTTTTTCCCCTGCAGAATAAATCTCATTGGCCAGCTGTTTAGTGTAGTGGAAATACAGCCTACATCACAGAAGACAAACAGAGTTCCAAAGTGGGCTCCATTTTGTGGATTTCCCCAAAGGCCAAACCCATCTGGGTTGTTACTCTTTGGGACGCTTGCCACTCCATGGAGGTCATTCCTTATGCTGTTTCGTATTCTACAATGGCCTTCCCTTCCACGCTCCGGTCCCTGTAAGCTAGGATTTTGTACAGATGGGCATGCACTAAGGAGGCTGGCTCTGAATACAGATAGAAGACAGCCTCCATCTGTTGGCCCATCCTATGACTAGTCTTCCAAACAGAGCAACAGATGAGCGTCGCCAACCCAGGCAAAGCCAAGGTGGGCAAAGGAATGGATAGGAAGAAGCACCGCTAGGGCCACTGCCATAGCTGAATGCAATTCCAGGGACTTGCCAGTCAGGTCGCAGGTTTCCAATTTATCCAAACCCCAGAAACTGACCAGAAAATCAGTAGAGCAGGAAGAAAAGACTAACTGGAAATCAATTGTATCATATGGCTCCTGATGCAGTCCTGTGCCCTGACACTCCCTATTGAGTAGCTCACTCTTTCTCCGTATCAATTAGAGGCAGGGCAGCAGCAGCCAAAGCTGCCCCTATGAGGAATGTCCATTGGACATGTCCATTTCTTAGCATAAATGTTTAATCATCCAAAAGAGATTTTTAGGAGGAAACAGTGTGCTTTACAACAGAATCCTGTGTATTCAAAGCAATATTGCTAAGATTCAAGTTTGCACTGTGTGAATGGAAATCACAAACCTGTAACTAACATAAGGTCAACACGGCTTCATTCCAAGACATCAACATGGGCAAAGGGGTGGAGTAGCTTTTTCTATGGAAGGGTAAGCCTCTTTCTCTCTAGGACTATTGGCCCTGAGCCTCGTCCCATGGCACAGCCCATGCCACTGATTAATGCAAGAACTCCTGAGCCATTGCCCCCTTTGGGACCACCTTGGCACCTTCTTGGGAGGTCTACCTTCCCCTACCCCACTGGCAGCATTGTGTATCTCTCTACCCACACCACTCCCCAGACTGCCTTTGCTTCCAAGGAGGAAATATTCCTGGTCATGGCTCTGATCACAGGTTAATAAAAGACTCAGAGATGTGGGGTTGAAGGGGGCCTTTGAGATCACCTAGTTCAGCCCCACATTTTTTCTTTAATGCAACTAAGGCCTTCAGAAATCAAATAACTAGTCCAGGGTCGCTCAGGTCATAAACTGCTAAGCCAATATTTGAACCCAGTCTTCTAGCTGGGTTAGAATGTTCTTTTCACTGTGCTCATTTTAATGAGGATCGTCTTAAGGAAGCCGTGGGCTCGGCTTTGTGGCGTGTTCACCGTATCTCAGGATAAACTAGCTTTTTCTTCAGAAAGCTTCTGGGGTTTTGTCAGTTTTTCTGAAGCTCAGGGGCCTAGCTTTGAGAGGCGCTGCACAGTGCTAGGCTCCTAAACAGAGTTCAGCTCAGCTGCCTCCTTCTACATAAAGCCTTTCCTGATGGGAGCTTCCTCCACCTCCACTTCATGAAGTTAGTTTAATTGGTTTGTCTATCTATAGATACATGTTGTGTTCCCTACCCATCCACTCCCCCTAAATAAGAAAAACACCTCCCCTTGTAAAGAGCTCACCTTCTGGGGAGTCGGGATGCATGCCCCAAAATAAATAAATGTAAGCCATAGATGGTGAAGCAATCCCTGATCTCAGTCCCTTACATTCTAGCCACAAAATGGTTTGGAGGTGGTTTCATTTTTTGCTCCTGTGCCCAGCACATAGTAGGTGCCTCCTAAATGCTTGCTGATTGATTGATTGATTGATTCCCTTTGTACCCCTAGTGCCTGGCACATGGTAGGTACTTGGTAATTGCTTGCTGAACTGACATTTAATTGAATTCAGAGACTACTTGTTGAAGTGAACGTTACTGACTCCTCAAGCTCTGTCAGGGAAAAAATATTAGATCAGACGCCCATGCTCTATCTCGCCAGGGCCCTGGAATCCAGCCCTTCCTCCCTAAGACTGCCCTCCCTTGGTCCAAGACACATGTCTTTTGTGCTGCGGCCAAGATGAGGCGCTTGACCAAATTACTGCCCTCCTCATAATCTCTGAGACCGGCACTGAAGGTGTCTCTAACTGGCATGTCCTCATCTCTTTAATATCCTTCTAGACTAAGCTTCATGGGCCTATTACATGTAAATTAGAAACACATTATTCCGGCAGGGAAGCTTTTCTTTCAAATGCATAGAATTTTATAACCTGCCATGATCTATTAAAATCGGAATGGTCTGCACTGAAACTGACTCCTTTCTGTATGAAGATGTCAAAGGATCTTAATTTCAGCTAATTCTGTCAGCCCAGAGAGGCTCCTCTGCTGAAGAGCTGGCAGGGATGGCTCCAGGAAAATGGTTCCAGGAACAACTGGCTATCACGGAGATAATGGCCTGTGTTTTTAGATCGGTATCACCTCTGAAAGGCGAAGCTTTGGCCAAATGCAGGCTGTCTGGCTGCCTTATTATTTCCCCCTCCACCAAATTCCTTGAAAAGTTCTGAAGTCCTAAGAGGACTTGACGTAAGTAGGCTGGCCACAGTGCAGAGGGAGCAAATAGAAAGAACACGGGGGACCCTCGGAGAATTCCAGAATGCCAGGTCAGGCCTGTCCAAATAAGGAAAACTCTCTGTCCCAAGGAGGTTCAAGATCCTCCCAGAAGCTTGTTTCCGTTTATGGAGATTGATGCAATCACGGTGAATGTCCCTCTCAGGTTCTCAGGGCATCCGCTGGAATGTAGGACCAACGGTCTCTCATAGGAAGCAAATCGGCTCCTTGGGATAATCATGCCAATGCCCACCACCAGGAAGACACCAATGGGAAACCTGAGAGATCTCCATACTTGGCAAGGAATCCCGTATCTCTCTAATGCCTCCCAAGCCATGACTTCTGAGTCTGAGAGCTGATGCTAGCCACTGGAGCGTCTGGGACAAGTCACGCTGTTAGGATAAGCATCGATAGCTATGCCCTCAAATCCACTATGGGACAGTAGCCTCTCCTGGGAAGACAGAAATGTAGACCAAAGCTAACAGGGGTGCGAAGGCCAATCACCAAAAAAGTAAAGCACAAGGAAGCTCCCTGGAAGATGAGCATGTCACCCTAGTGGCCCCCAGGCTTGATGTTTAGTACATCACTGTTCCCTCCCAGAGCTCCCCCCTGGGAACAGCAGGCCAAGGCTCCACATTCCATCACTAGTTCCCTAGTAAATGGCCCCTGTAGAATTCAGAAGCATGACCAACAAGAGGTACACAGGGCCAGGACCCAGGGTGCAAGCACGCAGGAAGAGGGTGAGTGCAAGCCCAGGGCCGGCCGCCCCCCTCGTTCCCCGTCTATCATTGCACCCGCTGCCCCACGATGCTTGGGAGGGACCACCTCCTGAATGGTGCTCAGACTCACAAGCCTCTTTCAGCTCAAAACCTTCCTCCTACAAGGCTGCTCCTGATTCTCCCCCAGCTCCAAGGCCGCCTCCCTTTCCTCCTATGTATTCTTGTACGCAGGTTATGTAACTTATGCGTGCACCTGTTGTTTCCCATTATGGCATGGGGTTGTTGAGCTTTGTGGGGAGAGATTGGCCCCTTTGGCAGCCGGCGAACTTAGGCATCTCTTCTCAGAATAATGTTTTACAAAATTCATAAAACAAAATATAAAGCAAAGCAATCATGTTGAAATGCAGTTAAAATACTTTTAAATGTTCCTGAGTGTACAGACTTTCATTTAGGGCTTTGCATCTCCAGAATCTAGCACACAGTAAGTGATTAATAAATTCTTCTTGCCTGAGGCCACGGTCATCTCCCTAGTATCCTCATCCTGTGTTTCAAAGCCTTCCTTCAGCCCATTTCACCATTCAGCACAACTGCCTTGGGGGGTGACACTCAGGATCCTTTAGGCATCACATCTGAGGCCAGTCTCCCCTCAAGGCCTTGGGCAGTGAGGTCCACCTCTCCTCTGAGGAATGGGCCAATCCTTTTGCAGGCATAACTACATCCATCTCCATCATCTTCCTCTCTATCATTGCTCCCTGCCCCCCCCCAAAAAAAGAATCTGATAATCAGAATTTGCCCCAGCCCACTCATCTCTAGCTCTGGCCCTGGTGAGACAATTGGGACTTTGGAGCCCAGCCTCTGGCACGGCGTGTTTGCTCCCTGCCTGGGAGGCTGCTGGCCTGTTCCAGATACGTTCCTTGCAGGGTAATCGCTTCATCTTGAGATATTTCAGGGCAAATGAGGTCAGAACTTCACAGGGTGACCTTAACTCTCTGTAACTCTGTTTGAGGAGAAAAGATTGCTTCAGAGCCGGATAGCTACAGTTTGTCCAGACTCTTTAACTCCAAAATGCACTCATTCTTCCCGGTGACTGAACGCGGAACTCCCCACGGCATTAGAGGGAAAGAATCAATCCAGTAATCACCAAGCATTTCTTAAGTACTAGAAGGCTCCAGGCACTGTGCTATGTGCTTGAGATGGAAAGACAGATGCGCCCTCCTGCCCTCAGGGAGCTTCCATTCTAAGAGGAGAGACAATCTCTATGCATGTAGGTGGGGGGAGGACCTGTAGGGCTTTCTGCAGAAGGTGGCGCTCAAGGGAATTCTTGAAGAAAATGAAGGGTTACAGGAGACAGAGCTGAAGAGGAAATGCATCCCAAGCGTAGGGGTCAGCCAATGCAAAGGCAAAGAGGTGGGAGATTCAATACTATCAACTGAGCAACAAGCATTGATTAAGCGCCTATGGTTTATGACTCAGTTCTGGGTATGCAAAGAGAAAAGGAGATTACAGTCTAATAGGATTCTCACAATGCCCTGGATAAAGAACATCAGGAAACTAGAAGAGCATTTACCTGGACCAGAGTTCGTGGAGGAAGGAGTGTGTGAAGAGCTTTAGGTCTCAGGATTTAGATTGTATCTTGGATGGAAAAGGAAGCCACCACGGTTTACTGAGCATCGCACAGGGCGTCCTTCTTTCTGCCACCTCCACTGCAGACTCTGTCCTCCCCTGCCGTCCCACAGTCGCCTTGCCTGGGGCTCTGCTGGAGGCAGCCACTTGTCAAACTGGACCAACGTAAGAGAAGGGTTGAGTGTGTTCAAGGAGCACACCCAGTCTGGCCTCAGACTCTCCTCCCCATCCACTCTGAATTTTCCTTGTGTGTGTGAGCCCCAGAGCCGTCAGGAACTCACCAAGAGGCTGCAGGAGAGAGGACAGCGGCCTTGGCTCCCAGCTCAGTCACTGCGGCCACGGAACCTGGATGTTGGATTGTAAGCTCCTTGAGGGCAGGCAGCGACTTGCTCTTTATTTGTATCCCCAGCACTTGGCGCAGTGCCTAGCACACAGTAGGCACTTAATAAATGCTTCTGAAGGCAAAATCCTGATCATTCTCAGAGAATGATTCACAGGCCTTTGCAGTTGGGCCCTGAATGGCGTCCACAGCTTTCCAGAGGCATTAAAGGATGCTGAGTGCATCTGGGCAATTCCCCATTGAGTTAGCGCCTCCTTTGGTCCTCTTGCTTCACTTTTTCTTTCTTTCTCTCCTTCCCTCATAAATGCATTGATTCATTCAAAAAGATTTATGAAGCACCAGCTATTGTTCTAGGCACCAGAGATACAAAGACAAAACAAGCAGTCCCTGTCCTCAGGGAGCTTATAATCTATTGGGGGAAACAATGCATAGACACATGAATATGCACAGTCATACACATATTTTTCCCCAGAGGTACAGAGAGAAGAATTAGGATTAGATTCTGGAATCAGAGAGCCTGAGCTCAAATCCCCTCTCTGATATTTAGTACCTCACAAGTCACAAAAGTGACTATCACAAAAACTCCCTGGCCTCTGTTTCTTCATTTGTAAAATGAGGCTATTGGACCAGAAGTCCTTGTTCCTTTCCAGCTCTAGAGCTGATTCTGTGACCATAAACACAGAAAATATGCAAAGAAAAGTCAGAATAACTTGCCAGGGAGCATTAGCAGCCAGGAGGTAGGGAAGGATCAGAAAAGATCTAGCATAGAAAACAGTGCTGGAACTGAGTTTTGAATGAAGCTAAGATTCTGAAAAGGTGAAGAGGGAGTGCATTCCAGACATGGGGAAACAGCCCAGGCAAAGGCATGGCAATGGGAGATGGAGTGTTGTGTGAGAGGAATAGCTGGAAGGCCAGTCTGGTTGGACTCAAGAGTCCAGGGGTAAGCCTAGGAAAGTATGCTCCTTCCTTGTCTGTGTTAGTCTTTGAAAGTATCACAGGACTCAAGGGCGGAAGGGTGCTTGGAGACTATCTAGCCTGACCCCCTCATTTTACAGCAGCAGAAATTGAGGGTCCAGGAGGTGGAGTGAATTACCCAGCACTGCACGGGCCATAATTCCTCTCTTCCCTTTCTTCCTCCTTTCTCCCCTAAAGGACAACATTTCACACTCCTCACAAGCTTTGTTCTTTTCTCTTTCTCCATATCCAGCAATAAATTTCTGCCGTGCAAATGTGACAGTCTCACTGGCCGGCCTCCTATAGATTATCTCGCCATCCGAAGCACTGTGGGGCTTGGGCTCACTAATTGCACCTCCCCCCACCCCTCCACCCCCAGCTCATCTGGCCAGCCGCTAAGACTGATGTCCAATTTGCATTATTTATGTCTTCTCACTGGGTTTCAGTGATGGGCTTTTGCATAACATATGTAAAATTGTGCTGACAAGGAGAATTCGCTGGAGATGCTCAAAGGAGGAGGGTGGGAGTGGGGGGAAGGAAAACCTGGTTTGTGTAAATTCAAAAGCCTGTCCAACAGTTTTGTTCTCTTCTGTTGTTTCTGAGAGAATGGGCACCTGCCCTGGGCACCAGAAGATGCCATCTGACAGCCAAGCGACCCTTTGGGCTTAAAATGCTTTGGGCTGACTCACACCACCCCACACACTTCCAATTGGAGAGGGTAAAGAACAAAGGGCTATTTGGAATGTTTTAAGGTTCAGACTTTTGCTGCAATTAAAAAAAAAAAAGTTTTCCTTTTTCCCAAATCAACTTCTGTCCTTTGTCTTTTCCATCTTACCCTTGCAGCAATCTTGAAATCCCCCAGTGTGGAACCGATCGGGTCTGATGGCAAGTAGCTTACTCCATACGAGAAATTCAGCTAGTTTGAGGCAACTGGACTTTTGTCCCAGGGTATTGCCATCTGGGAGTAGAGGCTCATTTAGTCCCTATATGAGCGTGACTATGCCCATGGCTTGTGGTCTTCCTTGTTTTGCCTCCTACCAGCAGATGGTGCACCTACCATCTCCAGGATTCTGTTGACAGGGTGCCTTTCTCCTGGGGCCACCTTCTGAACCCATATGGAGATGTGAGCTGAATGCTCTGGGGGGAGGATTGGTTGACCCCTACCCTGTATGACTGTACCTAATTTACTATCCTTTGTGCAATAATCACTCCCCACCTCCCTGCCAGCTCAACTGCATTTTCCTCCAGAATCAAGAATTCCTAATTATGTCTGTGACCTATATTCTCCGACAGCACAGGTGTGGCTCGGTGTCAAGAGGGAAGGTGGATGCAGGAGTAATTTTGCTAGATCTGCTCTGTCTAATTCCTGAAGCGGCGATTCAAAAGAAGTTGCCGATTATCCAAGTTTCAAGCCCAGAATATTTGCTCAGTGGCTCAGCATCTGTCTGGAGACAAAAAAGGTAAAGTAGAATGAGTTTGTCCCTTCTCTGCCAACTCCTGCACCAGCTGTGATATCAGCTGGTGTCATTTCTCCACTGGTCCCAAGGAACCCAAAACCTCTTGCTCTCTGACTTACTGGTATCTCCCAGCCAAGCCAGAGGTCAGTAATCTCCCAACAAAACCCTGTACTCACAAGTGACACCTTGCCTATCCCAACAAAACTGTAATTTCCTTTGTAACTTGGTGCTGCAGTGAACCAATGGCTGACTTTGGAGCTAGGAAAACCTGGGTTCAAGTCCCACTTCTATTACTTTCTAGGTGGGTGACCTGGGATAAATTACTAAGCCTTTCAGTGCCCCAAGCAAATTTCTGTGATAACAAGTTGCCGAGAAGCTGCCAGTCTACATTGCTTGAGATTTTCCTCATATGGGAGTTCCCTACACCAATAAAATTACAAGGTCAGTCCCTGTCTTTATGTCAGGTATTCTCTAGGATGAAAAGCTTTGATCCAACTAATCCCCACTGAGAAGAGATTAACTACATCCCTTAATGGGGCACCCAGCTGGTATTTTGTAAAAGAGGATGCTGGTTAAGTTGGAGGAATGAGACCCTACTGGTGGAGTTTCAGGCACAGTAGCAAAGTAAAGTGAAGAACTGCACAAGTGCAGGTGATTTAAAGACCAGTGAAGGTCATGGTGAGCATATAACGGTGGCCTGTGAGCAAGAAGTAACATACAAGACATCATAAAGGAAATGAGTGACGGGATGTCAGAAGAGTAAAGAATAATGAGTATGCCAATAAATGCTATCTTGTTACCCCCTGGAATGTTAAAAGAAGGTCTGAAGGAAGGAGGGTCTCCAGCATGGTGGGCAGATATTATATGGAGGATTTATAGGAGAAAACGGACAAGAGTTGTATAGGATGGGAAGGTGTAAATAAGTCATTACTGGGAAGAAAACCCACATCCAGGAAATATTGATCTTTAGAAACATCCCTCCCCTTAGAGAACCCTATGCCAGGGGCAGGACCCCTGCCCAATTAGGTGTAATGGCCAATGGATTAACCCATACAAGAAATTCAAGGAATTCTGTCTTCAAAAGCAGCCATTGAGCTGGTCAGTCCAACCAGTTGGCAGTAAAAAAGAGAAAGCTAATTCCCCAGGAAAAGGCTCTAGTATTCAAGTAATGAGGCTTCAGTTTGAGGGTACTCAAGTCAGTGTGAAAGTTTTTGTATTGGTGGGAATTAACAGATTACACCATCAATTTCTACCTTTTTTCCTTCTTTTCACTTGTCTCACATGTCCCTTCTTTCTGTGGCCACCAGAGGGCACTGTGGGTGTTGGCTAAGTTGCCTCCTTTTCTGAATCATAGTCCTCAAGGAGGACTTTTCTGCTTTTCTGCTGCCTGTGTTAGGCTAAGCCAGTTTCCAAGGTGAGTCTGTGAAATTGTTATTTTTCCTTTCTTTTTTTAAGTATCTTCATAAATTTATTTAAATGTAGTTAGTTTCCTTTGTGTTCTATTTTATGAATTTTAAAACATGATTCTGAGAAGGTGTCTATCAGGTGACTTCACTAGCCTGCCCAAGGGGTAGATGACTCCAAAAAAATTTAAAAAAAAAAAAGGTTCAGAATGCCTGGTCTAGAGGCATTTATGTATCTACAAATCATAATCTCTTGGCTCAACCCCCTCCCACCCACCTCCTTCATCCCCTTTGAACTAACAAACAATAGGTACTCTACAATGATCATTATCTTAATAGTAATAAAATTAGATCTAATGGTAATTTTAAAAAGTAAGCACAGATACTCTGACTTAAAAAGCAGGGTCCATCTTAGCTGCCCTCCCCACCATCAGAATAGAGCTTCACTCCTCTTGGCTCCTGCTTCAAAGCTGAAATAAATAGAATGTTCAGGGGCTTAAGCAAACCTCCTACAGGACTAGAAGGAACAGGTGTAAGTGATCACAGCAGCCCACAATAGGTGCAGAAACTTGGACCCTAACCCTAGGACACCCCTCACACTGTCCAGCAGCTCCTTCTCCTTTCTCAGTTCTCACTATTACACAGTGTTGCCAAACACTGAGCCTAGATCTCAGTCACCAAGCCTTATTTATAATTTCCACTTTTACACTCCAGGAGGCGGTGGGCCAGACCTGCAGTCTGGAAGACCTGAGTGCAAGTCCTGACTGACATTTTCTACCTTTGTGACCATAAGGAAGTCATACCTTCTCTGAGTCTCAGTTTTGTTGCCTGTAAAATGGGGGTGATAACTCTAGCAGCTACTTCACCAGGTGATTGGGAAGCTCCAAGCATGTAAGTCACCACCCGAATTTTCAAACCTTCTGCAATTGTCAGTTGGTATTTAGAAGGATTTCCATAATGAGGCCATTGGTTTTTTTCCTCCCCATAACTTGCCACACCCTGAATTTGTTTTGGATGAAAAAAATAAGAACCTTACAGTTCTTTTCTAGGAGTTGACATAAACTTAGGAGAATCACCTGTCAGCATTATTTAAAATAATATCAATAAAAGGAAAAGAATAAGAGGGACATTTGTCTCAGACACAGAATGCTTTGGGCATCTCTGAAAATTGATGTAATGAGCCCAATTTAGTTGGAGGCTTGGGTCAGAAGATACATCTTTATCACACAAAAAAAACCCGACTTCATAGGGCAGGCCACAAAGTGATGTCAATCTTCCAGCTCTATTACACCATCCCTTTCAATTTTGAACAACTCAGAAGATTCTTCATACTCAGGGTTCTGATCCTAAATGACTCACCTGCTCCAGGTGGACCAGAACAGTCAGACAGTGGCGGTGGGGAAGTGGGGAAGGGATGGGGATGGCAAGGTGCAGGGAAGGGACATGGCACGAATATTCCCGGAGTCATCCCTCACAGGAGGTGCAGGACCATGAATCATGAGGCTGGGGGGGTGGGGCAGACAGGGAAACAAAGGTTGTTTCTTGAGGGATGAGGGATGTGGGTGTTAAACCTGTCCAGTTTTAGCAAGAAAAAGGAAGTGGGAAAAGAGCTGTCCCCTCTTCGGTTTTATGCTTCCCTTCCAAGAACAAGCAACCTCCCTTCAAATGCTTTATAATTAAATTAATCACACAGTGAAATGATCAGTTTGGTGATCTGTCAGAGTAAACACCCCACTGGCATGTTGTGTTTTAAGCATCCGTGTCCCAGACGTGTTGTTGAATGTGGGGATATAGGCAAAGTGAGAGAAGAAAGGCTCCCAAATCCCAGGTCTCTTTTGTTGATAACAAAAGGCACATCTCTCTGCCCTTTCCCCCCATGGAAATGACAATTCCAGCACTCCAATGGGCCTCTTCTCCCTTCCATTTGGGCAGTCCTGTAACGATGCAAACCCCAGCCCAGCTATGACCTACATGATACCGACATAGCAGGGCTTCTTTTTCCAAGGTAAGGCTAGATAAAATGGCCACTGAGGCCTCTTCTGAAATTCTGAGGGATTCGTGCCTGTGAATCCCATGCAATTCTTGTCAGTGTCCCCCAAACATTTTCCGGAGGGTTGCTCTTGGGCTCTGTTTCACCAGAAATCATTGCTGAGAAATAAGTGGTATTGAGAAAGTGGCCCTTTGTTTCAGTGACAAGTTTGGGGTCATCCAAAGCCCTAATTCCGTGATTCTGTCTCTCCCTACTTTGCCCTCCCTGCCCCCAAGGTGGAAGAGGCCTCAGACAAGCCTTTGTTCAACCTGTACCTGTCTCCATGGACGTCTGCTTTAAGATTGGGGTCTCCATTCGGCCACTAAAGTGATCTTCCTGAAACACAGATTAGATCAAGTCATCTCCTCCTCAGTAAACCCTAGTGGCTTCCTATTCCCTTGAGAAGCAAATAAAAATGCTCTGTTTGGTATTAAATCCTTTATAACCTAATTTCTTCCTCACTTTCCAGTCTTCTTACACCTTACTCCCCAACACTTCCTCTTCAATCTGTGACCTCCTGATCACAAAACAAGATGCTCCATCTCTTGGCTCTGGGCATTTTCTCTGGCTCTCCCCCATGCCTGGAAGGCTCTCTGTCCTCAATAACCACAGACCTCCCTGGCTTCCTTGAAGTCCCAACTACAATTCTATCTTCTACACTCAGCCTTTACCAACCTCTCTTAATTCCAGCACCTTCTCTCTGTTAAGTATTTCCTTTTGATCCTGTACATAGCTTACTATATGTTTGTTTGCATCCTGTCTCTCCCATTAGATTGTAAATTCTTTGAGGGCAGGGACTGTTTTTTTCGACTCTTTTTGTATACTCTGTGCTGATCATAGTGCCTGGCATATTGTAGGTGCTTAATAAATGCTTATTGAATTAAATAGAAAATTCCAAAAATCCGTGATGGTGACCAGTGAGGCATACCTAGAGCTAGGAGGAGGCTGCACTGGTCTGGAGACTAACAAAGATGTCTTTCATGGAGAAAATCCCCTAGTAAGAACACTCATTCCCTTCGAACAAACCCTTTCCTAGAAAACGAGTCAGTCAAGAAACATTCAACATGTATTCATTAAGCACTTACAGTGTGCCAGGCACTGTGCTAAATGCTCTGGCTATAGATACAAGCAAAAAAAAAAGCCAACCCCTGCCCTCAGGGAGCTTACACTGTAGTGGGAAAGATGGCATATAAATGGGTGCTGAAAAGAGAGTGAGGGAAGGAGAGAAAGAAAAATGAAAACAAGTTGGCTTGAACAGTGCCCTCAAACAGAGGCCCTGGGAAGAACTCACCAATGGGAGAAGGGGGCCGTAGGGGCAGAGGGATATCAAGGTAAGAAGACAGCTAAGACACCATCGTCCCCACCAGACGTAGACAATGGCACCGGCGTGCCCACAGCCGCAGTCCGTGGAGATGAGAAAGAGGCGAGTGGCCGTCTGGGTAGGGGCCCTGGGGGAGGGAGGGGGCCTTGGCAGGCTGCCCAGCGCTTGCTTGAGCCAGATCCCAGGGGGACTGTTGGATCCCAAGTCCTGAGCTCGAGAGCCTCTTTTTCACTGAAAAGCAGAAAATGAGCTGGGTTTTCTCTTGGAGTACAAGGAGGGCTGGGGAAGGCGCCTGGGTGTAGTGGGTGGGACAATAGGCCTGGAGTCAGGAAGACTGGGTTTAAATCGAACCCCGGACACTTGCCAGCTGAATGAACGAGAAAGCCCAGTTAAGCGCCTCCCACATGCCAAGAACTGTGCTGAGAACTGAGATACAAACAAAAAGTCTGACATTCTCTCCAGGACCTCAGGCTCTAAGAGAAGGGACCACGCCTAAGACAAAGCTCGGCTCCAGGGCATTTAGGAAGGCCCTTCTGGGCCCTGAGGATCCACTAGAGGGTTCCTACTGAAGGGGACAGTGGGGTCCAGCCCTGACAGCACCAGAGGGACGGTCTTTTACTCACAGCACAGAGCCAACAAAATCCACAAAATGGCGCATGCTGAAACATTCACCACAGACCGTACTCCACTTCCTCTAGACCCAGCAGCCCCAGGAAGGACACAGGCGTCTCCAAACCCGTAATTCAGTGTGCTGAGCACCCCAAGGCTACTCCTTGAATGGGGAGAAGAGTATAAGCATCCATGAGAGCTGCCCGCCCAGGAAGGCTGGGCATCGTGTGCAGACTCGGGAACTTTGTGAGATGGGATTCCTCTTTTCCTTTCAAAGCCTCGCTCAGAGGCAGCCTCCTTCAGGAAGCCGGCCCCACCTCCCCAGATGAAAGTACTCTTTCTAGCCTCACATTTTCCCAGAGAACTCTTCCGAGAGCTTTCCCTTATCCCAGTACTCATATCTTGGATTCTGTGTAACTGTGGGCACGTCATATCTCACACACACACACACACACACACACATACACACACACACATGCACACACACACACACACACACGCACCCCCCCCCACCACCAAATTGTTAGCTTGTGGCATTGTTGGTTGACTATCTCCAGTACCTAGCACAGTGCCTGGACCACAGTAGGTGCTAAATAAATGCAAGTTGCTTGGAAATGAACTGGCCCAATGCTTTAGGAGCCTCCATTTACTGATATGAGCCCTTAATCACCTCATTTTCATGCATTCCTTTCCCTTCGACATAATAGGATTTCTTGATGGAAGAACACTATAGAGATGATATGATAAGGGGCCTAAAGAAACAGATACAGCTGGGCATAGACCATTCAGCTGAGTATGTAGGGTGTATAAACAGGGCACATATCTTTTTATTTTCTTTTCATTCTTTTTTTTTTGTGGCCTCAGAATCTGGTCCAAGTCTGGGAGTTTCAAAGTCCCATTTTGTATAATCAGGTTCTGGTTGGACATGATTGCTGAATTATCTTAAATTGAAGACACATGTCTGGAGGCCGAGCCATGTATATTATTGCAGGATGGTGTCCATTAGCCTCGATCCACAGGGGCTATCTTCAGGCCTCCCTGAACTCAATGCGTTCTTTGTGCATCAGGGCTTGCAAAGTGGGGAATCACATTGAAGGAGACAGTGAGTGGAATGCGGTCCTGGTTAGAGGGTGATGGGGGAAATTACCAGGCATACATATTCAGGGCCTCCCTGGTCTCCCTTGTGAAGGGTCCCTGCCTTGGCAGACTCGGGCTGTTCCAAAAAGGAGCTCACCTGCCAGTCGTGGGCATTCCTGAGCTCATGTGGACAAGGGGGAGCAGAACCAAGCCTGGCTGGAACCTGCTGTCAGCCCCAGAATCATCTTGAGTGTCTGAATTGTGTAGATTTACTGGTGGCGGTGATAGCGGCCATGAGCTACTTTCTGAATGTGCGTAGCCCTGAACCCACGGCTCATTAGGACTCACCTTGGCAAGGCAGCCGGGCCTCTTAGGATCTGAGGCAGGAAAGCCAGTCCTCCAGCCTCAGACCAGACAGCTGAGATGAAGGGAGCCTGTCGGGCTGGGGCCCAGCTCTTGCTGGGCCATCTTGTCTTTCCCTTCATCCCTCAGAGGACTTTGTACAAAGAAAAGTGTCTATTGGATGACTCTTGATGGGCATTTTCATCCACAGTCTGTCACACATTACTGGCTGGTTTCCTGTTAGTGGGTTTCTTGGGTAAGGAAATCACTACACTCATCTTCAGCTGCTTACTGTCAAGGAGGTAGTGTGGCCCAGTGGGTAAAGTATTGGTCATTGAGGAAAGAAGACCAGGGTTAGAAACGTGCCTCTTACCCTAGCTATGTGACTTTGGGCAAGTCACATGAACTCCCCGAGCCTCAGTTTCCCCATCTGTAAAGAGGGGTGAGCATAACCATAGACTGCAGCTCACAGAGTGGTTAGGAGGCTTAATTAAGATGAACAAGTATTACATGAAGTGATTTTTTAAAATCCATACCTGTGATTTCATTAGTATGAGGAGCTACAGAATACAAAAATTCTGTTTAGTATTAGGTCAGCAACTTATAGCCTAAGAAAACTGAGTACAGAAACTCACTCCTTGGGAGAGGATGGGGGCTATGGATACAGAACACGGCATGCATTCTACGACTCAGCGGATGCATCAAACAGTCTTCTGGATCTTTTTACACTTCCTTTTCATTCTGTCACAAGGGAAGGAAGGGGAGGGAGGGGAGCACAGAGATTCAGAGGTGAAGGCCAAGGGAAAACACTGGCATTCATAAACATGGAAATGGGCTCTTGGAGAAGAAATCTGCCCAGGGCCCCGAGAGGCCAGGAGGCTCACCCAGGCTCACCCAGCTGGGGAGTAGGGTTGTAGAAGTAAGGATGAGAGGGCCCGGGAGGCTGCCTCGGCTGCCTCATTATCTCACAAATCAGGGACCCAGGGCCCAGGATGGCAAATGCCCGAGGTCGCACTGGTGATAGCAATAATTGCATTAGTGTGGTGCTTTAAGGTTCACAAACCTGGTCTTATCATACACATGTATCCATTCGTAGGCATGTATGCATGCATATAGTCATATATCGCTACATATTCACAAAGATTAATATGTCATAATGTGCATGTTCATATACTTATACATCTATCATCTTTGATACTCACAGCAACAATAATGATAACGAGCATTTTTATGGAGCCTTAAGGTTCACAAACCTAACTCGTTACATACACATAGAAATAGACATGCACATATACCTACAGACACACACATATGTATGCACATATAAACACACATACATATATGCATGCGTATATATGTATACATGTACACACTGTATGCCCACACCTGCATACCTATATGAACATGTACATGCATGTGCAGTCTACATGTGCACATACCTATACACACACCATCTCATTAGATCTTCCCATCAGCTCTGTGAGGTCAGTGCCGCATTTCACAGATGAGCTCGAGAATGGTAAGGTGACTTGTCTAGGGTCATATAGGTAACAGGAGTCGAAGGCAGGATTTAACTTCGGACCTGCCAAGCCCAAGGCTAAAGCCCTCTCCACCATCCGGCTCCCCTGCCTCATAATGTTTTTGCCATGACAGGGAGTTGCTGGATTTGTTTCCGAACCCAGCAAGGTGGTCTACTTCCTTAGCTCCCTGGAGACAACAAGGAATGGGCTTTTTCAGGGTCAGCTTGGAATGTTTTGGGGCTAAGGCCTCATGAGCTCCCCAAAAGCGTAATGTAACCCTCGCTTGACAGACTTGGAAAATCCGGATGTTGCCTGCACATATCTAGGTCTTAGAACCCTTAGCACACCCGCCCAAGATTGTTGCCAGGATCAAATGAAATAATATTTGTAAAGTGTTTTGCAATTTTTCAAGTATTACATAAATGTTATTGTTACTATTATTATTATTATTCCTCTCAAAAATTATTTTTATTTGGTGTATGCATGCGACATGTTATCTTCCCCAATAGACTGTAAGCTGTTAGAAGGCAAGACCTATTTC